AAAAAAAAAAAAAAAAAACTTGTAATTTTCATGCAGTATTTGCAGAGTCTAAAAACTGATACTTTAAGGCGGTTCTCAGCAAATACCACCTGTTGTTGGGTACAAAAGTTTTCATTTTTTTTTTTGTACAGCATTAAAGTTAGTCAAAAATGTTTTCTATATTTCCACCCACTTATTTCCTGTGTCTAATAGATTCCAGGAACATGGAACTTGCTGTAATCACAGGTAACTGCTTGTTAGCTGTGGCCAGCAGTCGTCAGTCAAAGAAGTTTAATGGGAAAAAGCAAAACAGAAAACATTATAAAACTTTGAGCAACAAAAAAAAAAAAAAAAAATTTCCAAGAGTCAAGTATCTGAGATTTTTTTTTTTTTGGCAAATCTTAGCGGATAAAAATGTAAACATAATCTTCTCCAACTTACTCTAATGATTTTTTCAAAACTTCTAATTTATATTTTATTTATTATCCTTTTTCACCTACTGCCAAAAGCAGTTGACAACCTTCTCCAAAAACAGCAATTTTTTTTTTTTTTTTTGCAGAAGTATATCACTTCGACTTGTTTTTTTAAAGCGATAATATCATTTTCGGAAAAATTTTAAGTTCATAAAACCCGCTGGCCGTTGTAATAGGTTCAATTTGTCACCAGTCACAACAATCAGTGCCTCCACTAAAAATTCAAAAGTTCATCGAATTTGGCTTTACCGGCCCAGCAACAAAGAACAGATTCGCTCATTTGTTGTGCTACACCAAATAGCGAGTAAGCAGTTAAAATTTTGAATGGCTATTTTACACTTTCACGAGGAAACTATTCACTAATTTGAAAAATTTAACAAAACCTCACTCCTGTAACAAACAAATAAACTTTTCACGCGTTATTTGGAACTTTAAAACCATGAGAAAAGTCAAAAAACTTCCTAACATCCACCACCAAATTCAGTGTCACGGACACAGCGCAATCAAAATACATCAATTTTAGTTGCATATGAATCACATTCATTTAAGTTCTAGTCTTGCTTTCATCAGTCAGTTACCAGGTTCAGTGCGTTGTTTTCTGTTTATTGCTGTAAACACAACTGAGAGAAGGAGCCTTTAATTTTATTGTCAACAAAAAATTTACATCTCATTGCTGTTCATTTCTTTTTTTTTTTTCCATCGAAATTGCTTGTCTTGTTAACACAGTTGTCCACCGGTGTAAGCAAATCATTTTGGTAACTTTCCATCCTCCTGATCCAATCTTGTCTTGTTGAAAGAAGCAAAAAATTTTTTCTCTTCGATACGACTGATGATTCAAAGTTCAAGCTAATGTTATCAGCTGTTCATTATCAGAATCAATAACTGAACCGCTGGCAAGAGAACTCACTCCTATAACAAACAAACGAAGATGAACGGAGGAGGGAACATCGGAAAGCGACGATGATACATGATTGAAACACTTCACGCGCAAAAACGGCTTTGACACATCGGCATTAACAGGAAGGATATAGCAGGTGGTTAGAAAAAAAAAAAAGGAAAAGCATTCATTGCCTTATGTTACTAATAAATGCCAACACAAGTAGACTGATGATCAGTGAATACGCATTATCGCATGACGGCGCACGCAACTCTTACTTCAATGGTCCATTGCACACCAGCATCCTCCCAGTTTCAAAACTGTTGTAGCAGGTGATCTTGATATGGATCACGGCTAACACATCAAAAATCAAACTGTCTACTATCATCTCGCTTTTGATCTGAAACTCACCCCTTATTCCCACGCTGCTGTAGTTCTATAGCTCTAACGTAAAATTACTGCAAAACGATGTAATACTTGTCAACAAGAACTGGCTTTTTGCAGTGGAAACGTCAATATTTAGAAAATAATCCGTCACAACTCCTCAAACTGAACTTTTCTGCTAAACTTCTGCAACCAATACTGTCCACTTTGATCA